CTTGGATTAAAGTTCAGGCCTGTTTATTCTCTCCGGATTTGGATATCAATGGTTTTTGCTGTTTGGCCTGCAAAAGGTGGGATTTCTCAGCCATGTTTTCCATCAGTAGGTGTTGCTGCTTGCACAGATAATGGCATTCTAGCAATAAAATGCAAAGAGAAGTCACTTGAAAACAGCTGGTCCATGGTTGATTGTCTAGGCGAGGGAGATGGTAGCTTCCCCAGCCTCATGGGACCAGGCCGTGCTTAATTTATACAAGTGGCCAAGTGAGGAAACCACCAGAGACACCACACAATTGAGGGTATTTGGTTGCATAAACTCAGCCTTCACTGCAGCAAAACCGGAGAAATCAAAATGGAGGTTTGAGTTAGTCGAGGATTCAGAGGCTGATGATGATCAAGGAGCTATGCAGATCAGGAACAAAACTTAAGAATCAGAACCCAACTCTTGACCTTGTAAACATTTGACCCTCTTTTCCGCTATGGTGCTGTGACATATTTTACAAAGATTACCTCAGTTTTACTGAGGAGAAGCAGGCCGTTATTTTTTTTAAGAAAAGAAAAAGAAATGGGAGCCAATTTTTGGTGTGGTTTTTGTACCTTCTCAAGGATGAAAAGCGCAACCCCAACTGACGTTATTTGAAAAGGTTTGTGGAGGGTGTTTTTTTTTTTAAGGAAGTTGCGTTTGCTACTCTCCATTGCACTTGGAGCAGAAAGCCCTCTGAATGTGTAATTTTCATCTGTTGTAAATGAATTCACGAGAGGCCAGCTTGACACAGATACTTCTACCCAGAGGCTCCTTTACTCACATATAAACTGGGAATTCTGGGTTTTTGAGGGTTGCTGTATTGGGCTGCTCAATGTATCTTTGCTCTTTAAAAAAAAAGTAACTACCCTTTTCTGTAGAGATTATAGAGACTGAGAAGAACAGCTCCCAAATTTCCCAGCTTCTAGAATCATCAAGTAGTATCAGATTTTCCTTTCGACAACACATACAGCTAACCATATGGCTCTGTAATCTGCTTTTTTGACTGGAAAACTTTGATGTTAGCCCATGATCAATGTTATGGGGTGGTGTTCTTTTTCTTTTTTCTTTTGGCCCCTTTTATCAGCTTAGGAAAGTTGCAATATGCTCTCTTGTTAGGAAAGGAAACCAGGAATGGTTTATAAAATTAGGAAGGGGGGAGGAGAGTATTGTTTCAAATGCATCTTATCTATTCGGGCATTGCTAGATCCTTAAAAAATAGTACTTGGGCCATGCCACAAATTTGCATATGCTTAAATACGTAGAGATGCAAATTCAGGCCTACTTTTCAGAATGTAAGCAAAGAAAGGCGCTTTTAAAAGTTTTAAAAAGGAGGTGGGAGGGTCAGGGAATCTGGGGTGTTTTGCAAAAGACCTGGGGCAGAGGGGCCCCTCGGTCGCCCCCAATATCACCCCTGCATCTGTTCTTTTCCCTACAGAAGGTGGGTGGGTGGTAAATCACTTTCCTTCTTTTGAAAAATAAATCTCTCACTTCTCTGCTTATAATGCAGACTTGCATAGATCAGTTTTTAATGATTATTATTCAGACATCAGCCATGACGAATAAAGTGGGTGTTTTGTTTGTCAACAGCAAGCAATTTTGGGTATTTGGTTCAAACTGCAATCTTAGGAGAGGTGGGGGACACACACACACCCTCTCCCAACACTTTTAGAATCTAATTGTTGCTGTGTGCAGTTTTTTTAAAAAATTCTAGACAAAATGGATAAATGTTTGTTCTGGGTGGGGTGGTTGCCATTTTCCAAATAGGCATAGAATTAACCATCAGAACCAGGCAGCTTCAACACCCTGGCTTTTGGGTGTTCAAATCATTGGCAATGCAGGGATCCTGTAAACTTCCATGATAGTTTTAACAGGCTGTGATTGGAAGATGGGAGCTTCTGTACGTGATGGGGCAGGGAGGGGCGCTGGGTCTGTTTTTAACTATCAAATGTAGATGATGACTAGATATTGGAGTGACGAGAGTTCTGTACAAAGCTGGTAAAATGTTAAGGTTTTTGCTTTCAGTAATTTGTTGCTTTTTTGTGGTTGTTCATGCACAGCCATTGGAGTCCGGTCGCACTATGTTGTGCCACTAAGGCCTGGCATTTACTTCCGCCACCAAATTGTGAGTTTTGCACAGAGTTTTGCCTCTCTTTCTTTAATGTCCACATTTGTCGTTTGAATTGCCTCGAACGCTTTTGAAATTTTTGTTCGATGACTTAACAGCTCCCAGTTTTACAGCTTCTGGGAAGCAGAATCCACCGCAAATTTCTAACATACTAGGACTGTGTTCGTGGCTTCAGTTGAGATGAGAATTTGACATTGGACCTGGCGCCTATTTGCTGTTTTGATCTGCCTGTTCCTGCCCTTCTTCCCCCAGGACCTCAAGTTGATTCCCTCCTCCTGCTACAATCATTTTTAATTTCAAAAATGGGGCTGAGATTGCCGTAACGGGGTACTGAGGGCTTTGAGTTCTCCCCCAAAGTACTAACTCCAGCTTTACCTCAAACTCTGATTGGTAAACAGCCAGGAAAGTGCTGAAAATCCCACTGGCTTCTCTTAAAAATAAATTAAAAAAATGTTTGAACAAGCTCTCTGACAGAAAGTGTGCTGGGAATATAGGACCCCTGAGCCATTTCCCACCCATTGTCAAAAGTTAAATATGGGTTTAACATGATTGTGTAACGTGAGTAGCTTGGGAAACCACTTTTATTTTTGCTTATTTGTTTCTTTCTAACCATTGAGCGGTCTGAAAATGGCTCGGAGACAGTATGCAGAAAATCTGTAACATGTTTTCTGTGTGGCAAAAGCCTACTTGGCAAGCCAAGGAAAAGCGACTCCTTTCCAAAAGGGAGGGAACGAAAAATTATTTTTGCTGGTTACGTTAATACCTCAGCCTATCACTGTGAGCTTAACCTGGAAAGCTAGGTGCATTGGGACTCCACAAGAGCACGGTTTGACCCGTTCACTGCCATTTTAATTGTAGTTTAGTGTGCATCCTATTTTGGCCCAAGAGTGAGGGTGAAGGCATCCCCTGCTTGTTCAGTGCTGCTATGCCATCTTGGCTATGCATAACAAGAAGCAGGGCATTTAGTATGCTGAAGTCCTTCTGAACTTGATAGGAAGCAAGTATATTTTCAAAGTCCGATGGGCATAACCAACAGACCCTTAAGAGAACAGGAAATGTCGTCCTTAGCTCAACACAACTGCAAATCCAAGCCAACGTAACTGTCATGGTTCCCTCTCCCAGCCCATTGCGCCCTGGGAAGTGTAGTTATTTGAGGAGCCTAGAGAACTCTTAATCAAAGAGCTCTCAGCTCCACCAGAAAACGTTGGAGATGAGGATGATGCTTTTAAACAGGCACAGAACCCTGCAGTTTGTTAACAGATGCTGAGCATTGATAGGAGACCCTTCTAAGACCCCAATTCCCAGAGTGGTTTAACACTCAACCTCTCTTCCCTGGGAACTCTGGGAATTGTAGGTTTGTGAAGAGTGTCAGGGTCTCCTAACCATGTTCAGCACCCTTAACAAACTACAGTTCTTGAAACATAAAGAGTGTGGATGAAGCCTTTCATATCTTCATCCAGCCTTGTGCAAATTAAGCTGGTATAAATACCTCACTCAGGCTGTGTTATGGGGAACTTGGAGGGCTCAAAAGAGGCCGACAAGATTTCCCAAAGGACGGCTTGATTGCTAATACCCACCTTACCTTGCACTGAGGTGGGGGGACCTGTGTTCTAAGATGCGCTCTCCGTTTAATGTGGGGCATTAATGCGGTCGTGCCTAGCAAGTATCCCCCGCAAATATAATGTGCACCCGCTAGAATGTGCCCCAGCATCCTCTGCAATGTGCTGGGGTTCGGTGTCAGGCATGCCAGGATTGCTTGGCAAACTCAGACCTGTTCAGGCACCCTAGCCTTTGCACAATGGTGGGAGAATATCCTTACTGGCCCCTTCCCCTCTCCCATATGCCCACCAGCTACAGGGAGGGACCGATTGAGAAAGAACAAGCCTCCTCTTTTAGGATTTGACATAAATGGAATTCATTGGCAAGCTGGTTTGGTTTTTCCTTACCTTTAAAGGCCGGCTGGAGAGGAGGAACGGGGTGGTGGAGAAACTTAAAGACTTCAGGGGCATAAATGACTTAGGGGTGATCAGGGCAGGGCAGGGCAGGGAGCTGTGAAAAGCAAATAACCCTATGACCATTGGAACTTCCACCCAGGCTATTTCTGGTGGTTGTTTTTAAAGCATGCATTTAAGCAGTGCCAGGAGGTCTGGAAGCCTTAACCTGAGAGTGTCCTTCCAGATTCTTAGCGAATATGTGGAATATTCACAGCCTACACTACAGTTAATACTAGGTTGGGGTTTCCATGTGGAGTTCTAAAGGTAGCGGGGTGCAGTAGAACTCTTAATGGCTAATATGTTTTGGAAAATTGACTTTGTGCTCACACTTTGGTTCTCCTAGGACCAAATCTGGAATGTTTTTAAATGGAATCTGGTCCAAGGGCCAGATTACTTTCTTCTTTTTTCATTTTTTTCCTCATATGCCTTCTGAAGATTTCTCAAGGTATCCCAAGTCTTAGGTCACCCAGAAGTACTGGCATATCCAAAAACGGTTGCTTAACTTGCTTTAGAATTAAAAAACAAGGCTTTGGAATCCAGACCCATAGCCGTGAAGAGGAATTAGACTCGGGTGGTCATAAGGATCCCAGAGTTATTCATCTGACCTGGCTTTTTTCTTTTTGAAAGATGGGAACAAAACAAGGTCTTTCTTTTTTAAAAGATGTGTGCCAGATATGAATTTGGCTTTTCTAAAAGTTTTTGAAATTGAAGAGGCTCTGTCATAACCTTATTACTTGGAGGATACACAGGTGTTAATAGCTATGAAATTTACACATGCATATACTACCTCAAAGTTCACAGTAAGATACGAATTCTAGAAGAGTGTGTGTGTGTGTGTGTGTGTGTGTGTGTGTGAGAGAGAGAGAGAGAGAGAGAGAGAGAGAGAGAGAATTATCCACACTCTGAGGCTGTTTCCCTACATAAGCCTTGAAGAAGATGGAAAAAAGAATCCTAGGATTGTTTGGCTACCACCATTTCCCCTTAAATTGGGACAGCTACCTCAAGGAAGAGTAGTAAAGATAACTTATGCAGTGGAATGGTGGCTTCTCTTAATTTTTGCCATAGCTGCATCGCAAACTCTTACCCTTCGCTTTAGTTCTGGTGCTGTGGGATCCAGTAAAACTGGCTTAGTGGCAGTGTCTGGCCAAAATACAGCAGGGGCCCAAAAGCTCACGAGAATGTCACCTGTGAATTCTGCTCTCTTTCTCGAGAACTTTGTAAGTTCTGCAACAAGGAAACTCCTGTGGTGCAAGCCGAAACTCCAGTTTTCACGACCGAGATGTGTTATTCTGAAAATCGGCAACGTTAGCCATAGCTGCTCAGAGATTACCTTCCACTTAATCTCGTGGCAGCTGGCATTGCTTGGCATGTATTTGAGGGGCAGGGTATATAGAAACATAGGAAGCTGCCTTACACCAAGTAAGGCCAATGGTTCATCTAAGTCAGAATTATCTACAACACTGACAGGTAGCAGTTCTTCAGGGTTGCAGGCAGGAGTCTTACCTGGAGATGCCAGAGATTATACCTGGGGCTTCCTGCATGCAAGACACAGGCTACATCCATCCTGGGACAGGCGCTTTGAGTTTTAAGGACCTGTGCCTTTGTTCTGTCCTTTCCTTGAGTCTCAAACTTGGGTCTTGAGCTGGTTTTGGACTACAACTCCCATCATCCCTAGCTAGCAGATCCGGTGGTCAGGGATAATGGGAATTGTAGTTAAAAAAAAAAAAACTGGCGACCCAAGCTTGGAAAACACTGCTCTCTAGACCATAACAGACCTCTCTTATTTCACAGTTGAATTGATTCACATGCCAGAAGCACATGCAGGCATGATCTCTGTTGCTTTTCATTGAAAGGCTCTCAAGTCTGCTCAGTCTGTTACATAGTTCAGTTACAACATCAGTGGGAATAAGCCGGTCGCTAGCAGCTGACGTTTCCAAGCCATGTGCTATGATAATGTTAATAAACAGAGACACCCCACCCCAGCCTCCTGTTTGAATCAGAGAGTTTTTCTAATAGCTTCAAGAAGCAACAAGCTGGATCCTGCTGCACCAAACCTGGAGAAGAGAGGGAGGAAGCCATTACCCCTTTATCTGTAGCTCCCCCCCCCCCAGAAGAACTCGGAAACATGAAGACATTACTGTACAGATCTTGACTTAAGTTCCTTGGGAAGACAGGTTGAAAATGCATAGGGGGCAGTGTTGGTGCATCCTGTTTTTCAGCCCAGGAACAACAACTGGAAATGCAAACAACGAATTTTAGTAAACAGGCTGGATAGCTTAGTCCAAGGCGTTGTGCCAACTGGAATTTTCTGTAATAAGGCCACGTTGGATGAGAGGGATCATCTGCCAGCAGCTGCATGGAAGGTCCGTTCAGATGAAAGAGTTTGATTTGCACACAGCCAGCTGAGAATTGACCCAGGAGTTCTTCTGTAGTAGTTCTATACTGAACAGAACTGGTGGGAGGCAAGACGTTTGGCTATGTCTTGTGAAAGCAGGGAAGAGTCAGATAAGGTGGACGTAGGCCATATTTTACTCATCAGTAGCTTAAATCACTGTGTGCATGTGAGCCACAGAGGAAGCTGAACATTCAAGTGACGTTTTAGCAAGCATCCATACTAAGAATGAAGGCAAGTGGTGTCTCTTATGCGGGAGAGTACAAACAAACAAACCCTGCAGCATTCAGCTTAAACATGTTGGAAGCTGATTGTAAGAATCTGCAAAGGGTGAGAATCACTTGCCTTCTAATAGGCAAAATACGATGGTACATCCCCATTTGTTCCGTTCACACCCTGGCTGAAATTTTGGCTACACAACCCTCTTGAAAATAATAATAATACAGTGTTAGTCTTCTCACTCCTTTAAATCTGTATTTGAATCCTGCGTCTTTGTCATCGGCTACAGAATCTTTTTCCACGTTTGACTTTTTGAAAGCTAAATTATCTCCCTTGGTTTGCGGTTGGGTGTACAGGCAACAGAGGGCAGCCGTGTCAGGCAAGGATCGATTTGATACAAGTGGCATTCGAAACATGAAGCGCATCTAGGTGGAATGGCAGTGACGGTAAACTAAGTAATAGTTATGGGGAGTGTGTCAGAGAGAAGGTAAGATTCCTGTCACTGGTCCCTGCCTACAATATATAGCATTCCCCCCGCCCCCCCAAAAAGGCATGTGCTATTTGATGGAATGACTGGTTTACACAATTTTCAGGGAAACTGGCATCTTTTGGGCATTTTGTTGCCTACATACAAGATAACAACCATTTGGTGCAGGTGTCTGATTTAAACTGTACGCAACTATCAGATATCCTGAAGCGGGGGAGGGACGGAGGGACCCACTTATTCCTTCAAAATACCCTTATACTGAATATAATAAGCTGGCCTAGCCTTATCTGCCTCCCAAGGATGGTGCAATGGCCAAACAGAGCAGGTCATGGAACAATACCTTCCGCTTCTTTGATTCTGTAATCGCAAAGGGAATACAGAATTAATTTCCTGGCTGTGCCCATAGAAACGGAACCCTCTTGACCAGGATTTAGCTGTCCGGAAATCTAAACAGTTGCCCTGTTCTAGAGTGGCAGAATCAAAGAGTGCCTAATATGTAGGGTGGAGTATTTGAGGTTGTGTGTGCATTTTTAGTTGGCGGTATGAGTACCGCGCTCACCCACTGAACACCGGCAGCACCCATTTTAGATATAAAATCCTACTTGCACCTGTGGATGCCGTTAGCCAGATCAGGGTCTGCTGTCTGCTTCCAAAAGCTGGATGGACCAGCTTGAGTCTAGCCCTAGCACCACTGCTTTAAAACAGTGGTGCCTGAGTAGTAAAAGAGTTCTGTAGGACTCAAAAGCTCACTTCTAGCCTTTCAAATGCCTGCCCTGGTCCAGCATTTCTCCAGCAATAGGAATCCTAAGTCACGGCTTCCTTAAATCTGACACTCTCTCTTTTAATCAGGGTGATTCCGTGCACTGCATATACATGACGGAAGAGGGAAAAGACCCCCCCCCCCAAAGACCAGCCTGTGCCTTGGCTTAGTTCAGGTTGGGTGCCACCCCCCCCACCTCCCCAAGCCTCTCAGCCAGCGTTATCAAGCAGCACCCCAAAGTGCCTGTTTGAGCTGCATGTCATGCCAGCCTAAAGGGCATGACGACCATATATACATATAATATGAATGAATATAACCAATTCATGTTTGTTTATCTACCTCTTAGCACCAATAGATTAAAAAAAATAAAAATAAAAGTAAATAGGGTAGTGGATAATACAACATGCTGTGTAGTGTAGGGAGAAAAATACTTCTGTTTTTTTTCCAAAGAAATAATTGTTCTGCTTAATAAATAAATGAATGAACTAGAAATGACGGGCGCTCTCTGCATTTTAAAGCAGACTTGGGGGGATTTGTAGAGGGCTGTGGAATGATGGGCTAGAGGCAAGGTGTGTTTGCAGGTAAAAGATGCTTGGTGCGGCTGACATGTTTCCGCAACGGGCGCATCGCAGAGCAAGCCGCAGTCTTGATTCCTGCTACGGAATCACTGGGACAAGTCGCTGGCCCAGATCCAAAGAACAACGGGGGCAGGATGTGGGGCGTGTTCAAGCTGTGTGTGTGTGTGTGCACGCCCAGGAACATCAGGAGTGAGCAGGGTAGGTGCATACAGGAAACCACCAAGTCTGTGGCTTCTACAGGTTAGATTGCGTTTATTGCTGGGACAGAGAATCGCGGCTGCTCGGGCATCCGAATGTAAAATGGCGGCAAAATAATCCCTTGCCGCTTTGCTGTGAAGGAGGGTAAAGGCAACAGAGACTGGGAAGCAGTTTCTCTATTGAGGAACTAATTCACAGCCACAAGCTATTTTGACAATAATGCTCTCAGGGCAGCTGCTGGTGTTCCACCAAGGCTGCATTGCCCAACTCCCCTCTACAAGTCAATTAACCCTGGTTTTTAAAGTGTGTGTTAGTTTGTAAGAGCCCTGCAACCTCAACTGTTTCATTCCCCCTTTTATTACTTTGTTTTAAATGCACCACGTGATTACTCGTTTCTCCTCTTTCCTAACAAAACCCCATCGTAAGTCCCCACTCCCATTTTCTTTCCATGGTCTTGGCGTAAGCGCTGACAAGAGTTGAGACAGCTATCCAGCAGTGATTGATTGAATTGTGCCTTAGATCCACAAGTGCATAGTCTTTTGCAAATCTTTTCCTCGTTTGAGGGTACTGGAAACACACACACACACACACACACACACACACACACCCCAACAACAACCTCACTAGATCTGTGTCAATGGTAAGACTCGTAAGAATTGTTTTGTTGGATGAGAGTCCATAAGTCCAGCTTTAGGCTAGCAGTCTTGATTCCAACAGTAACAACTTAGATGGCTCTGGGAAGATCGGAGCGAGAAATGACAGTCATTTTCTAGCCACCTGTTTTGCCACCAGCATCAGAAATACTGCCTCTGAACATGGAAGGGTTAGTTTAGTTAACCTGGTAAATATCTCTAAACTTTCTCTGAAGCCATCTCAGGTGTGAAAAAAAGCAAGAAGTTTACTTCTTTCAGTTACTTTGCTGGAGACCTTGTATTAAAGCTATTTTGGTACTTGGGTGTGGGTCCCAATTCCTTCAGAGCAATCTGTTGTTAAAACGATTTTATGACAAGTCACATGTATATGCAACGAGGTTATGTGAATTTTTTTTGGGGGGGGGGTTGTTTGCCGTACAATATTATAAGGACATGTAAAAAAACAACAACAGCGTCCACTGTTTTCTCTTTTTTATTCTAAGCCATTGAAATCATCACAAATTCAGACTAAATCTGAAAGGCTGTGCTCTTAACAATTGTTTTCCTCCCTTTTGGTCAACTGTATTAAAAAAAAAGTTGTTTTTTTAATCTTTTCTCTCTTTCAATTCCCCTTTCTGTTCTTAGACTCCTTGTCTATTGCATGAGGCAGGTTAGTTGGCTCACATCCAAAGTTGCGACTACAGATGGACTGCGAGCTCCATTTTTACTTCCAGCTTGGTTATTGCCACAAACTGCTTTACTCCACTGTTTCATTTTTTTTAATAAAACGGAAAAAAATCATATTTTAATTTGTGCCCTGATTTAATATTCAAATCATTATTAATGGTGCTTTTCATGTGCTTTCATCCTTACAACATCCCTGTAAGGTAGGGTGGGGAAACTTTTCCAGACCAAGGGCATCTCTGAACATACATTCCCTGAGTTTGATGGGGAACCGCAACCGACAAACCATGGCTGCATGCAAAATGCCTAGCCCAATTGAGCAGCTACAACCGTACGTGATTAGAGTCAGTACATCACTATGGGAATAGGAAGTGAAGCTCTGACTTCAGTATTCCTCTTCCCCTGCAAAAAAAAATTGATCAGGGTATTATCACTGACCACCTCTGACTAGGGCTACAGTTCCATTGTCTGATCTTCTCAACTATGGTTCAGTTGAGTCTGTTCCAATCACCCAATAAAAGGTATGCCTCTCTCTTTTTTTTGTTGGGTTAGAACATTTCAGACAAAGCATCCCAAAGACCATTCTTGGGTGCAAGTCTGCAAATAGAAGATTGTTCGGGACCAGCGTCCCTCGCTCCAGGCCTGCTGCAGCTGGCTAGCCACCACCCTCCCAATCGTCTTGCACAGGAAGGGAATAATACGAGACAGCTCAGTAATATTTCTAAAGGCTCTGGAGCCAGGAGGGTGTCTCCAAGTTGGGCCTTCTCACCACCCCTTTCAAGGCAGTGAGCAAAACTCCTGTACTGATGTACTAACCACTCCCTGCACCCACTGAGTCAATCCCTTCCTACTAGATTTTATCACCCATGATGGGCTGAGCTCAAGAGGGAATGCACTCAGCTCATGGCCACAGGAGTCCTGTCCATGCCATCATCCCCTGGAATTGGTCCCCCAACAGTGCTGCTCATGGGATCTCTCAACAGACCTGGACTAACTGGCATGAGTGAGTTTTTTGCCCTCAAAAGTGCCTTGCAGATTTTTCACAGCAGGCTACTGAGTGGTCTATTGCAAATGAAGAGGTACCAACCAATTTAACAGTCTCTAGACAGCTCTGTTGAGCGATTCACTCAGGAAGCAACAGGGGGCTGAGATACATATATGCTCTTTGCCACAGGCACATTAAAGGTGAGGCTGTGTACTTGCACCTCTATGTGGTCGGATTCAAGCCACGACTTGTACCACCTGTGCTCCAGTTGTTGTCTAGCTTGCTTCATTGCCCAGAGGGCCTCAGAAAACCACGAATTACTTGTGGTCAGACAGGGAGCTTCGGCGTGATTGTGCCAATGGCCTTCTCTCCATCTCAGTATTCCACTGTGAAACGAGTGCCTTGACAGGAGCACCAGTCATACTGCCTGGAAAATTCCCCCAAAGCATTCAGGAATACCTCAGACTCTATATCTGTCTCCAACTTAACTGGTCCTCCAGACCTGGGGGTGGGGGCAATCACAGCCAGGCCAATCCACAACAGAAAGCAATCTGCCCATGTGAAAATAGGGTGATGGCTGCCCACTCGCCAGATCCTTGCCAGTCCCCTATGTGGCAAAAACAGACCCAGGGTATATAACCTATGACATATGTCAGGTGCACATTATACTGAAACAGCTCCATGGTTGTCATAGAAAGCCATGAAGTCCAGAACCAACACCAAACCAGAGATTGACCTCAAGAGAGGGAGGTGGTTGGGCAGCAGGATAGTGCAGATAAGATCCCCGTTGTGCCAGACACCAAGTACAAATGTTCACATTGAGTTCCCTGAGGGACTGGCCTTGTGTTGGGAATGACAGGACTTCTGGATGACAGCTGTGTGTCACCTTGTCCCTCTGACCTTGACTGATAACTGCATAAAATACCCAGGTGGACAAAGCTGGGTAGGGTCAGCCGCCGCTACCTGCTTGCCCTCCTGGGTCTCCGTAACACGCACCAGGTAGACCATCTCAGCCATGATCAGATCATGGCTGAGTTGTTCTTTTCTGGACTCACCCGGTGTTAGCCAATAGTGTCACCAGGTCAGCATAGGTACTAAAGTCTACTGAACAGTTGAACAGGGACAACTAACATCAAGAGTCTGGCTTCCCACTCTCCTATGACGATGTCGCCTACTGCCCTTTCCATAGCTCTCTTCCCCAAGACCACTGGATCTTCCCTACCTGTTCCCTCTGACCCAGACTTGTCTTTTGTTTGCTGTGTTTGGTTTTCTCCACTCCCAACGCAACTGCTCAACTCCACCAAAGGAGAACCAAAGCTCTTCCCACCCTCTCCAGTTAGGAGTTACGGGACGGACAAAATAATAGTATCCTACTCTGTGGGAGGATACTGTGCCCCAAGTGCAAGTGAACAACTGCCCTGTGAAAAGTGCAAAAGGGTCTAACCACCTCAAAGTTCACTCCAAACTAGCTCCTTACCCCTCCTTAGCCAAGAACCTTCCCACTTGCACCAGGGGCTTGACTGTCACTCAGAACCCATATGCAGCCTCAAACTCCATTCCACCTTCTATCATTAAGGCTGTCTATCACAAAAATGTACCACGGGTTCTTGTTCCTGCCCCTTGTCTCCCCAAAGGAGTGGTTCCCTTTGGTGTCTCCCCTTTGGGGTTGTCCCCACTGGAGTCTGCCCACAGCTGACTCCCTTTTTTAATCTCTTTCAACCCAGTTAGCTGATAATTATGCTCTGAGGATCAGGGGCTTGCACTCACTCCCTTCAACACAGCCTCCTCCTGTTGCATAAAAAAGATCAGAAAAAGCAACCTGAAATAAAAACCAGAGTGGAAAGGAAAGATGGGTCAGCATTCACAGGTTTGCTTCATGGTTTTAGCTGGCTTTAAAAACAGCCAGGGTTAAAGTCCGTAGAGAAATTAAATTCCACTTTAGCACAGCATACAACTTCCATATACTGCCTTTAACACAGAGCAGATAACAAAAATGGTCGCCGTCTCACCACACAGGCGTCTCAGTGGAAGAAGAGTGTGTTTGTGGCAATCCATGGCACTTTAAATACGCATTTCACAGTAGGGTCCTGTTGCGAGAAACCCCCCAACAGGGAAGTTCCACAAAAGATGATATTAAGCAAGAGCTCTGGTTTTCAGTCAGTGGCTTTTGGCCGCTTTTGTGGCTCCAGTCAGTTGCTTGTTCCAAGATAATCGAGAGTCCCTTCAGGTGAGCCCATTGCCACTTGAAAGATGCCCTCTAGGGGATTCAGGAGCAGTAGAGTTGAAATACGGCAGTCAAGCCTTTGTGTAGCATTTCATCCTGTTCTTAAAGTAATGTAAAGCCAGTTTGAACCGGACCTGCTCCTGAGTATTGGCCCGGAATCTGCCGTAAGTCTTCTCGACGTCAGCCTCTCGTGTGCTTTTCGCACTGCCATGTGGCTGGTGACCGACGACAACATTATTGCAGGAGCCGACTCGCAAAATCCCCAGTCCGTCCATAAAATATTCTGAAGGGAAGATTGGGGGCGAGAGAAGTCAGTCGGCTAGGGTTAGGGAACCTCTGGGCCTCCAGCTCTTGCTGGACTACAACTCCCATCCCTGACCATCGGCCATGCTGGCTTCGGCTGACACGAGTCAGAGTCCAGCAAAACCTGGGGGGGGGCAGTCACAGGCTCCCCATCCCTGCAGTTAGTAAATCACTAAGACATACTTTTGAATAAGAGACCTCCGTTCATACTTGTTCTCTGCATGTAGGAAGCACATGGAACAGGGCAGCAACTCCTGGCCAACCCACACATTAAACGCAGATGTCTCAAACATGAACTCTACAGCTGAGCAGCTGCCCTCACCTCCATGCAATCTGCTCCCCTGATCACACAGAGGTCTTTGCCACGTGGCTACTACCCTTCCCGCAGGCATCTGGTTTGCTCCTGTGTGAATTTGATTCTGGATTATCATTAGATGGTTTGCTCCTGTGTGAATTTGATTCTGGATTATCATTAGATGGGCCTTTGGCCTGATCCAGCAGGCTTTTCTTAGGCTCTTATGATGGCCATGCCAAGAGCAGAGGGCATTGTGCAAGCTACCCCCTTTCAGATGCCTATGTATTAGGGAGTGTGGGTGACCACTGGGATAAGATAACTTAGCAAGCCAGCCTGCTCAAATGCTTTCAAGCAGAGGCTCAACAGTCATCTCTTGGGGATGTTTTCATTCTGGGCTTGATGGCCTACACTCCCCCTCCAACTCTATGATTCTATGAAAGGAAGACAGGAAACTCAATTTGAAACACTCATTCTGACCTCACCTGGAAAATTAGCTTCTGAAAAAGGGTTTCAAATAGGTGTGGGGCTTCTAGCTTGGACACAAGTCCCCAAGGCGACCCATGGGGCCTTTCCTCTCCAAACCACGCCCACCTAACACAGGGAAGCAGTGGCATAGCATGGGTTGCCAGTGCCCGGGGGTGTGGGAGGTAGGGAAACGGACGGAGTACCCATACACATCCAACTGCCTAATGGCGCCCACGTCACCCAGGAGATTGCAGCCACAGAGATGAGAAAAGAAGAGTCGATCCTTTATCTGGAGAGGTCACTTCCTGGTTTGTATGGAGAAGCTACTTTTAAACAGAGTCCAGCAATGGAAGCAAGCAGCTGTATTGCGGCAACACCGGGTTGAAATTTTGTGCCCAGGGCAACTGCTCCTCTGCCCCGCCCCAAACTATGCCACTGTAAGGTGACGTCAGGTAGAGACCTACTCACTTTCCGCTGGTAAAAGGTCAAGAACCCCTGGATGGTTAAGTCCAGACAAAGGTGACTATGTGGCACTCATCTCGCTTCAGGCTGAAGGAGCCGGCGTTTGTCCACAGACAGCTTTCTGGGTTGTGTGGCCAGCATGACTAAACCGCTTCTGGCACAACAGAACACGATGGAAACCAGAGCGCATGGAAACCCCATTTACCTTCCCACCACAGCGGTACCTATTTATCTACTTGCACTGGTGTGCTTTCAAACTGCTAGGTTGGCAGGAGCTGGGACAGAGCAATGGGAGCTCCCTCCGTCGTAGGTGGGGATTTGAACCAGCGACCTTCTGATTGGCAAGCCCAAGAGGCTTGGTGCTTTAGACCACAGTGCCACCAGG